GGCCCTTGAGAATTTTACTACCTGGAATAATCTCAATCGTGTGCTTAATAGCACGTTCAGTAATTCTGGTAGGTTCAATCTGCAAATCCTTATATTCTGAAAGAAGACTTTCAATAGTTGGAGGGCAGGAAGAAAAAGACCCACTGTTTTTTTTTACCAATACTAACATGACTTCCTGTTCCAACTTTCTCTTCGAAACCATCGAACGAAAAGTAGGGTAACTCATACAACAAAAAGACAAACTAGAGTCAGGGTCAGACTTATGATATAACTTATTTGGTTTCATTTCAGATTGTGCATCTTTAAGTTGCACAATCTTGTCTTTGAAATCGATATCCGGGTTGGCTTTCTCGTGCCAGTCCATACCCAGAATGAGATCAAAAGACAAATTCTTTTCTATGAGGAAAGATAACTCATGCACAATCCCCTTGCCTTCCCTCGTTTTGAACTGACACTTAATACGATCAACGTACTGAGAGATAGTGATCGTACTCTTGTCTGCTAACATAAACGTGATTGGTCGAGACAAGTTTTTCACCTTCATTCCGAGATGCAACTTGCGGATTGCCTTCTCAGAGATGTAGGACCTCGTCGATCCAAGGTCCAACAACGCACCAACTCATGTCCGTGCGATTTCAACATCTGCAAATAATAATTCACCCTTAGACTTTGTTTTTCGTGTCCATGAGCTACGTATGGCTAGCAATTCATTACCTAGCTCATCAAGGGAGTCATTTAGAGAGACAAAACATAAGACAATGTCAGGGGGGTCTGGATGATGGGTTAAGGAAGAATCATCCCCTGCCATATGAGAAGAAGTGTAGGAAGGGTTCGTAGGCGCCTTACTTGTCTGTTTGTCCTTACTCTTAATCTCAGTAGGAGCAGATGCTACTCCTACTGGCTGCTTGCTTTTGGGTTACGGATCATAGGGCAATATGCGATCACATGTCCCGGTGTGCCGCACTTAAGACATTGCGCATTATCCATGTACTCCTGCCAAGTCTGGCGAGTGATTCCCATCTTCAACCATGGCTTCCCGTTGGCAATGCCAGGGTGCCATGGACATGGTCTTGGTTTCTTCCCTGTTCCATTTCTAGGTGGCCCTCCCTTGTTGGCCACAACAGCAGTGACTTCCCCCTTCACTGTTGTTATCCTTATCTTCTAATGGTCACTTTTCCACTGTGTCGTCATCAAAGACGACAAGGGTGTGGTCCTGGCACTTTTGTCACCAGAGGATTCGTTTCCCATCGTACGGCCTTCCTCCTCCTCCTCCTCCTCCAGACTTAACTACAGATGCATAGTAGTTTTTTACTTGAGAAGTCATTTGCTCCCTTTGCAGAGCAAGGTCGCGAAATTGCCTATGGTTCTACTTACCTGACTTTGCTTCGGCGACCAAGTGTTCCCGGATGGGCTCAGGCAACGCGCGGGAGTACATGTACAACACTTAGCTGTCCTCCAGGTTCATTGCTTTTGACCAATCGATGTTAATTGGTCAAACGCTTTATCGGTCGTCGTCTTATCGAGGAAACGGTCCTTGATCTTTGCCAAGAACGGTTTCAGTGTCAGGGTCTTTGCCCACTCGTCATTGTCTTCGAACCCCGCAACATTGGCCTCGGCTAACACCCAAGTTGTTTGGCCTCACCACCCATGCAAGAGGTAGTGAACGCAACTTGGGACTCCGGCTGGATCGGAGTGGTGCTCACATACGTTTGGATCTCAGCAATCCAAAGCAACATGCTCTCGTCTTTCTTGTTACTCAACGTAAAAGGCAATTTCATTTTCACTTTCTCTTTCCTCTTAAGATTTACCTATTCTGCGATTGTCTTACCCGGAGTCAGGGTTGTCGACCCCCAGCCCCGGAACCCCGCCGGGGTTCCGGGGTTCCGGGGGCACCCGGGAACCCGACCCCAGTAGGGGAAAAAAAAAAAAAAAAGAGGGGGGTGTGCACCGCTAGCGTGCAGCCCCTGGTATTTTTTGTGTCCTGCAAAAAATGCCCTGACACGGGGTCCCCCCCGGGGGGCGCGGACCTCCCTTGGCGGGAGCGGGGTTGCCGCAGCGCGGGGACGGGGATGTGCTGGCGGGCATCTGTGTCAGGGTTGCGGAGCCGGTGGTGCTGTGGCGGGGGTACCCTGCAAGGCAGCGGGTTTGCGGGGTTTGGCGGTTGCGGGGATCGGGGTTTGCCGCTGCCGGGGGTGTCTGGCAGGGTGCGCCTGCGGGGTCCCGCCGGGGGTCGGGTTGCGGGGCGGGGGTCGGCGGCGGGGTC